AGCGCGCCTTCTCTCGATCCTCCACCCGAGCCAAACCTTCCGACCGTGTCTCCGACCCCGTCTCCGACCGACCCTGACACCCTGTCTCCAAGCAACTCTCCCACCACTGCGCCATCGAATGATACAGCTACAGTTCCATCTCTTGCACTTGAAACCGAGTCATCAGAATTGGCGGCTAACGATTGCGCTCCAACCAAACTAGAATGGGCTCTTATGATCATTTTTTCTTTTGTTTGTGGATCCGGACTTGGATACGGAGTCGGCATTAACGATTACAAAAGGTGGAACAAACACGTAAAACACGTACAACACTTACAAGATGGAAGCCAGTCCTCACCCCCCCCAAGTATTGAATTCTCTTCTGACACTGACAGCTCCGTCAGTTCTGTAAGTACTGTGAAGTCCGAAGATATTTCCAAGGACAGTTCTTCCGAAGGCGGGGAATCCGATGACGAATCTACCATCAAGGATACCGATGACAAGGCTACAAAGGAAAGAAAGGAGATGCTGAAAGCCATGAAAAAGCAAACCAAGAAACTTTTGAAGGAACTAGAGAAGCAGAGGAAAAAGGAAGCAAAGAAGAAGAAGAAAAAAGATAAGAAGAAGAAGAAGAAAGAAGAGAAAAAGAAGTCTAAGGAAGATAAGAAGTCTAAGGAAGATAAGAAGTCTAAAAAAGATAAGAAGTCTAAGAAAGAGAAAAAGGAAACCGATTGAAGATGAGAAGAAGCCAAAGTTGAAGGAAGAAGAGAAGTGCGAGAAATAGAGATCTAACAAAGGAGTCGCTCATCCACGGGTGGAAGGGGGGTCTCGAAACCAGTTGGAAAACCGTCTTGCCTTCTGAGCTGGCGGAAGTCTAAAACTCAGCACCCGGGTTTGACGGCGCTGGTTGGCACCAACGGAATATGAAGTAGATAAGATAGTAATAATATTTGACAAGAATCAAGCTGCGGCTCGACGGGACTTTGGCATGCCTGGAGGATCCTTCGTTCGTTGTAACAAATAAAGTAGTAACGGCAACCTTGCTGACTGGTAATACTGATGGAATGTTGGTTGCAGTGATGGAATTGCAAAATTTAGCTGCGCGAATGGATATGGCAAGGACAAGGAACTGTTTTTTTGCCCCGCCTCGAAAACCAGAGTCTTTTCGACCGCCAAGCGAGCCCCGTGACAAACGCCGTGGAAAGAATTCGTCCTCGTCTTCCTCTTCCAGCCGCCGTGGTATGCGGGAGAAGAGCAAGGGGCGATTGGACGGCTCGTTCGGGATCGTCGTTGTCGTTCATTGTCGTTGTCGTTGTCGTCGCCGGAGAGGATTCATTCCGCGACGATCTTTGGCGGAGCGAAGAAAGGGATTGTCCCGGGTGGACCGCATTCGTCTTGGCACGGCCGCAGCTCCGAACCGTCCTCGTTGTCTGTCGTTTTGTTCCCTGCTGCCGTTTCCTCGGAATCCAGGCAGCAACCCCGGTGCGCGAAGAGAATCGAAACGAAACGAAGCGAAACACGGGCCTGCGCGACGGACCTGGCTCCACCGTGGCACGGTGGAACACCGGGCAGAGTTGTTGGCTCCCAACGAAGCCTGCTTGCGTCGATGGGTGGCACCCGTTCCCGACCCCCGCGGCGCTGGCAACGGAGAATAGAATAGAACGGGAAAGGACGGGACGGGAAAGGATCGGACGGATTGTTCGTTGCGAGCGGAACAAAAGGCCGACCGCGTGGAGTCCGGTGCCGCCGGTCCATCCAATAGAACGGCGAGAAACCGCAGTGGCCCGCGTTTGTTGGCCTGCCCCCTCGATCGCAAAGTACGGTACGGATCAACGCCATTTTGGTTGCGACACCATAGGTTCTACGGTGTTGGTGTTCCAATAAAGTACAGTACTGTATTTTGTATTTTCCAACCATCATTCGACCGTGTGAGCGAAAAATAGGTCGTGCGATAATTTCATTCGTTCGTACTGGTTCGTACTCGTACCGGTACGAGTACGTACGGTACTTGTACCGGTACTGCTTATTATTTTCTCCTATGGTACTTATTACTGTATGGTACGTATGGTACTATAAGTATCCATACTGTAGATGATCTGCCAATATCATCTTGTACGTAGATTACGTACTAATCATGTGTACAAACTGTCCACCATTCAGTGTTCAGTGGCATCTGTCAAACTGGAATTTCATACCGTATGTCCGGCTGTGAAACGGAATCACGAGTTCTGCTAATACGAGTTACGGACATATTCATCGTATGTACCATACATAGGTTTCTGGTTTTGGTTGAAGATTTTTACATGAGTTCTCTCTTCCCCACCGCGGACATCAAAGAACAAACAGCCCATGTACATTGAAGTCATTTGTATTCTTTTTTGAAGCACAATCGCTGTATTGTACTTCGTACTTGGATCGATGTAGGGGTCCATAAAAAATTAGTTGAGGACACTTCTCTATTATAGCCCTGCCTATTCAACGGCGTTTGAGTGGCCGTATTTAGCCAATCTAGCCAACTGAGAACAAAATAAGGATGCAAAATCCTGTGAAGCATATTTTTTTAATGTTCTGCATTATTGCGACATCGGATGCAATTTTCGGTCAGGAGCCTCCTTTCCAAGCGAACTCACGTAATTTTTCGAATTGCCCCGATTTTGCAACGGCGTTCAGGGTTCGATCACATATTCGAGACAAGCCAATGGATAACGAAAGAAGCTCACAAGGTTCCAATTTTGATGTTTCGAAGTCGGATGTTATTCGAGTGGCGTCGTTTCTTCGCCTAATTTCTTCTTCTATCAGAACACACCAACAATCATGCCAATCATAATTTGCCCAACGAGCATCCAGACCCAATCGAAATCAAACAAGGTAACCGGAGGATATTATAAGAATACACTAACAAACCATGACGCCGAGAATCCTCCGGCTGGTGGTTCTTTCCACGGCGGTCATGCGTGCTGTGGAAGGATCGACGCATCGGCTGATGCGCAAGAGAAACCAAGAAATGATCGCTGTGGTCACCAGACCAGAAGACACCCGTGCCTCCAAAAGAAGAGTGCTGCGGTATTCTTCACCCATAGATGTGACGAACGACGCCGAGCTGGAACTTTTATTTTTCATG